TTTTTTTTTTTAGCACTTCTCGAACTAATGCAACTGCGAAAACGTGTGGTGAGATGACTATGCGTGCGTATTTGTCTGGATGTTTGTGCTTATCTGCGTCTGCACATATCTTTGTGCTCGGATGTGCGCGTCTGTTTTTCAGTCATTTTGAACTCCGCAACCAAACAGTTCAGGAAGTTGAAATTTAGGGTGCTCAGGAAACTTGACACCAAAAATACCCAAGATTCGTTGGGCAGTGAGTGTGGGTATCCCATGTTAGTGATGTTACTGCCATCGCTTTCGTCCTGGGATGCAAGCTTCGGGTGATATTTAGCTGCAGCTGCTGGTACGTGTTCTCTGTGTGGCACGCTCCCGCCAAAATTGATTCGCATGTTGAGGTATTTGAAAGTTGCTTGCGGAGGTTGTTGTGCATGAGTGGTGGTCACTCCGATTGGGCGTGTTGCGGCGTTTTTGGGCACGAAGATTCTGCGTTTTTTTGTTGTGAGGGCTGCTCTGCGTTGCCCGGCGAGCTTGCTGATGTATTTTTTAGCTTATTTTGCTCAACAAATCCATCAGTTCGTTTGCTTATCGAATTTCTATGTTGTTTTGAGTGGCCCAATCGGAGAAAAAGCGATTTTCAGGATGGACGGCTTCAGTGGTCGGTCCGCCCCGATCGTCCGAACACAGCTGCCCGTAACGCGGGTGAAGAGGATTTGCAAGGTTGACCCGAACTGTTCCCCCATCTCAGCTGAAGCCGTACAACTGCTAACACTGGCTACGGTTTGATTTCGGCCATAACTTGGCTTTGGATGACTCGGTCGCCGCCGCCGCCTAACTTGCTCCAAAAGCAGCGTCTAATAAGCAGTTTTAGAGGCCAAACACATCAGGTAACCTTCGAAACAGCAATTTTTAAACTTTCAGGAGCAATTCATTGGTTTACTGGCCAAAGCAGCTTACGGGCAAGCCACGTTTGACAAACGAAAAACTCTTCAGTTTAAAGATCTCGGTACGTTTGCGTTTTGTTTTCGCATATTGCACTCCGTTTTCTGATCTTTGATCCTTCGCCTCACTGGCGATATCTGGACTGCGGCTCTGCTGGCCTTGTTGATTTTCTTAATTCAAAAAAAAAAAAAAATTGTAAAAAGGTTGAGAGGAAAGTTGGTGCCGAGGCGCACACAGACATTTTCTTCGGGATTCTACAC